TAAGAGAGGTGTATTATTAATAAAACGTGTGTGTATTCTGTCGCTATATTTGAGTCATTTTCTGACAGGGAAAACAAAGAAATTGCAATTAACATGGCTTGTTCTGATGGCAAACACTGTTTACACTTTCGACGTCATCATTTTGTTTACATTGAGCAGAAACCTTTAATGGATTTACTTATTAGTGTATGCCTAGTCCTTTTTGTCACTGTTTTCCATTCAAATGTTATTTAACTAGCGTCAGGTCCTTGTAGGAGAACCATTAATCGAGCTCTTATTTTTTTGCAAGTTTATGGACCGAGAATAATTATCCCGTTTTTGTATCAAGTGCACTTTTTAGAATGACAATAACAATAAATATCTTGTACAATATCAACTGCGTCATTGCTCAAGAGTTCTCTGAGATTTCACACCTCTTTGTTTTCGTGAATTCTTGGATTTGGTGCAGGTATAAAACATTCGGTTCAAGAGCATTCAGAGGAAAGTGTTTAAACGAGAACAGATACCCTAAGCGTCACAGCAACTCCTCCAACAACTAAAAGGGAAGAAAAAAATCCGTCTCGTAAACAAACCTCTCAACTTCTATTGTTCCCTTTTTCATAAAAGTAGGCACTTAATGGAAATATAAAAAACACTGAATCACCCAACCTTGAATGAAAACCATTTATCGAGCTCTTATTGTTTGAAAGTTTATGGACCGAGAATAATTACCCTGTTTTTGTATCAAGTGCACTTTTTAGAATGATAATAAAGATAAAAATCTTGTTCAATATCAACTAGATCATTGCTCGAAAAAGACTTCGTGTCTATTTGTTTTCGTGAATTTCTTTGATTTGGTGTAGGTATAAAAAACTAGGGTCAAAAGCATTGAGAGAAAAGTGTTTGAACGAGAGCAGATAACCTAAGCGTCGCAGCAACCCCTCCAACAACTCGCAGAAGGAAACAAAAAATCTGTCTCCTAAACAAACCTCTCAACTTCTATTGTTCCCTTTCCCCTAAAAGTATGCATTTTATGTGAATATGAAAAACACTGGCTCCCCCAACTAAAGTAGCTTTTTAGTCTTTTGTGAAGCATTAGACCCTAGCAATTAACTC